CAATGCTTCTTTACCCGTACTACACCAATGTTCCATTGTTCCAACTTCCGTGACGCTCCCAGTGACTGCATTTGCAGTGGCTGACTTCAAATTGAACCGAAACCACCATTTAGATTGCGTGTCGCAATCCAAGACACATGGCCGGTACTCCAAAATCTGAAATCAGCTGCTAACAGCTGTGCCAAGCTCTGCTAGCAAGGCTCAATGGCCTAGTGATCATGGCGATAGACGCCAAGCGCTATGCGCCGAGTTCCACTCCCAGCTCCGGTATGTCTACCTGATGAGTCCAACTCAGGACGAAACCGTCGGTCATGGAGTGCAGGGATGGAAAAGAGCCACACCGAAACCCTCCCCTTCACTGATGGTCCAAGTGACCGTATTGGCAGAGGCTGACTTCAAATTGAACCGAGACCACGCTTGAGATTGCATGTCGCATTCCAAGAAGCCCGGTGGGTGCTCCAAATCCCGAAATTACTTACAATTTCACTGTTTTCTCTCGTCTATTTGCTTCGCCTTTATGTTGCGTAACTTAGACTCTAGGACCTTTGTACCCACAGCAGTTAAATTGGCTTGAGTTTTCTTTTGGCTGCGGAATTGACAGCATTAGTTGATACCGCTTGTAACGGTTTGATAGGTGGTTGCGTCTGCATCACCCTAATGTTGCTCGGTGCTCCCACCGCAGTCAAGTTTATTCAGTATAGCGTTTGTGTGGGGACAACCGATGTGTACGTTGTCCGGCTTTTCTCCATGGTGAGCAAAATATGACTCGGAGCTGCCATTATCATCACTGACATGATGTGGGCTGCACCCCTAACTGCAGTGGAAGCAGTCATGTTTGCTTGTTGTGCGCTTATAGAAGTGAGGTGTACCAGAAGATTTGGAGACACAGACGCTGTAGTGCGATTGGAGATTAAGGCTCTCTTCTTGAACGTAGAGGCAGGGTTTCAATCGCTGTTTGAGCCACCAGTGTAAACATATTCACCTCCGAAAGTGCGACTTTAGCATTCAAGAAAAGGCGCGATTGTCGCAGGCAAACTGCTGCACATATTATAAGCATAAGTTATATTTCTCGTGATCCGAGCCCTCAAAGTAAGGAATCAAATTTACATTGCCACATACTAAGGAATGCGCGGCTGTTCTGCTAGATTTAATGAGTGGTCCCTCAGGTTTGTATTGTTGCTGAGTTGCAGTAATAGGAGACACATGATGTGGGGCTCGCAGAATAAAATATGCCATAATCAGGTCGTCTCGTAGTCTGCGATAGCTTCCACTGAACACCCCCAATCGTTGCAGCCTCTCCTGGTAGCAGAAATTGCGAATTCCAATGACGCCCTTAGATGTCCGGCGTTGTGGCTGTTCCGGTGCATTAAGGTCGTGTTTCAGTCATGGATGCCAGGCTTGAACTGCGTATTCGACATGGGGGCGAATATACGTGCTGAGCATTTGTCGAAATATGGAGCTGTTTATTTGTCCAAACGCCCATCGCAACAGCCCGACGCGTCGGTTCCCGGTCTTCGAGGCCTTTTCGTATTGCCTTGAGCAACCCAAGTCATTTTGAACCAAGACACACAAGTCCCGTTTGACAGCTGATTGTTATAGTATATTCGTTCCGAGCCTGTATGAGTAGCTGCCCTGATGTCGGATGGAAAGCACCTTGCATTTACTGACGTTGAAATGTAATACATATTGGGTCGACCATTGATAGACCGTATCTAGGTCACTCTGAAGCACAAGTTGGTCGGCGTTCTCCTGGATCCTGCGCCAGACCTTGATACCGTCGGCAAATATTAGGATGTTTGAAGCGATTCCTTGTGCAAGCGCATCAATATACACCAAAAATAAACGTGGACCTAGAACTGAGCCTTGCGGCACACCACACTCAATTTGTATGGGGTCCGATAAAGAGCTCCGAACTCGGACCACTAATTGCCGTTGAAATAGAAAGTTGACAATCCAGCTTAGAAGAGGGTTGCCGATCCCGTAATGCTGCAGCTTGGATAGTAGTATCCGATGGTCTAGACGATCGAAAGCTTTGGAAAAATCCAGATAGATCACATCAACACCTTCTCCAGCGTCAGCTGCCTCAGTCCAACTACTGCGTGTAATTATTAAATTTCTTGTACGTGACCGCTGTCGACGGAAACCGTGCAGTTCAGGAGTGGTGATGTTACCGTTTTACTGATAGCACATCAGTGCATCGGCAACTATGGATTCCATGACCTTGGAGAGTATAGGAAGAATTGATACTGGGCGGTAGTTGGAGAGATCAGATGTGCTTCCACCTTTGTGAATCGGGCTTATTATTCCAAGCTTCCATATGGCGGGAACTTGGTTCTGGTCTAAGCAGCGCTGGAAAAACTGAGCTAAACGTCCTGGCAGTTGGCTTTCTGCTGCTTCCAGTGCCTCTGGACGAATGGTTTCGACACCCGGCGAGCTGTGTTTGCGTAGAGACGTCAGCTATTTCAATACAGCCTCCGCGGTAAAAGTGATGTGGGTTAGTCCTCGTAAGGAGAAGACAAAACTTGGTAGATCGCCTGGTGGCAAGACCCTTCGAAACTTGGGAGCGCATTGCATCTGCAGCGCGTTTGCTGCTTCCACAGCCGTTATTGTTGGGTCATCAGCCGTCCTGAGTGAAGAAAATCCTTTCCTCACCTTCCGCAGGCTATTAACGTGGTTGTACAGCAGTTTGTGGTTAGCACTGAAGGTTTTTGCGATGTTGTGGTGATAGGTGGCTTTGTCTTCCCTTAACAGTTGAGTGTAGTGGTTACGTTGGGCTACGTAGTTGTCCCAAGTTTCTGGTGCTGGAGCTTCTCTGTACACTCGCCATGCTACGTTGCGTACTGTCATCCATATTCAAGTTCTGCTCCTAACTGAAGAAAGAAAATGATTTGCACTTATTGCAAGCTTTTATCTCTGAAGCCTCTGCAACCAGCTGACTGAATGTTTTGACGAACTCGAGCCAGGCGACTTCCGGGGGTTCTTCTTCTAGGAAAGACCAAGTTGTGGCGCTGACGAGATGGGCTAATCGATGGTAGATTTGATGGTTCGCACAGTCTCATCGTTATCATTCAGATATTCTGCATAGCAGACGAAGTTGAAACTGATCACGGAGTGATCACTGCGATCCAACGGGCAGTCAAAAAAAACCAACACATCAATCATATCTTCCTCGTTGGTAAGCACAAGATCCAGCACAGATGGCCTCTTATCAGTTCTGAACCGAGTGGGCAAAGTGATGTGATTGTAAAGAGGCACAGTAGTTATTAGATCTAGTAGATCGGCTTTGAATTGTTCTCCGATCGTGGCGGGAGTTTCTAAACAACGTAAGTTGAAATCATCCATGACAAGAATGTGAGTGTACTTTTGTTGTAAACTGCATCTTAAAACAGCCGCTAGGTGGTAGTCGGTTTCGGGTGTAGAGTTAGGGGCGCGGTACATCAGCACAATACGGCAAGCGTCCCTGCCTTTTAACTGCAACCGGCACCAAAGGGAGTCGGGGAACTGCGAGTCTGAATCCTCCACGGTTTGGCACTGCAAGTCGTTTCGCTAATACAGGCTTACCACTCCTCCTTTTGCGAGCCTGTCCTTCCGGATCAGCGACATGCCGGGTAGCGACACTTTAGCATCCATCATTCCCGTGTGCAACCACGTCTCGGAGATACCAATGATATTCCGGAAGATTGTCGATCTTTCAGTTCGGCCAGTTTGTTAGAAAGACCCTGAGCATTCGTATACAAGCCCGCCATTTTCTGTGTCTATAGGAGCCCACAGAGGAGTGAAGGGGTCACGTGTGGGAGAATGCCGCTGTGCTGTGCTAATGATACCTCGTTTGCAAATTGATTGGGCCAAGGTGCGTTCCTTGGTCTAATTATGGTATATACCTAATCAAGATGCATTTTAACAAGCCAGTTGATTGAGATACTGGATGAGCTCAGTTGCATTCCTTTGAACTTTCACTTGTAGGTGGATAGTTAGAGCGCGTGTGACTATGCACGATAAAAGTAATGTTGAAAAGTGGGAATTAATTAGTTAAGTTGACAAAGAAATAAAGGCCTATGCACTGTAAATCAAGACTTATTCATTACATTGTAGTCTTGTAGAAGGTACCAAAGACGGTGCTTAGGAAATAGTGTAATAGTTAGCCCATTTTTGGCGTAGAGTTAGATTGGAAAGGTACCAGAACTTAGATCGACGATATGGTTTAGGAAATAAGTTAGTGTGAAATATCGGTAAGGCAGTAGGTCAGTAAAGTAACTAGGAGCACAACAATTTCAATGCAGTATAAATTAGGGCAAAGAAGAACAAGTGAAGTAATACGCTCGTGGAAGAATTGGAGAGATGGAAAACTGCAAAGTGTTTAGCGTGTTGCATCCAGGTTCATACATGAGGTAGGGGTACACATTTGGAATACTGATGCAGTAGAATTGGGCTGTACACAATGTCGGATCGTCAATTTGCAGTCGAACTCATGCTGACAAACCGGACACTACATCTGTGTGGTTTTCCTATGCAGAGGCCGCTTGTATACGTATGCGCCATAAACAGTGCTCGCCTGCAACGATTTAAACTTCCGTCAAGTAGAGAAATATAAAAGCAATTTACCATAGCCAATGATCGATACGAACTCCGTATCAGAATTCGAGGAATTTCTAGACGCCTGCTTGGCGAATAATTGATCTCCAGAGCGCATAGCACCTGTATGGGACGTCGTACAACTGAACTGCGTTGAAAGTACACAGTAAAAAATTACGATTTTTCGCTTGCTCACCTGATATTCCACTGATTGAACAACACACATATGTATGTTCTAGCTCCCTATCTACAACATTGAGGATAATTTCACACAGAAGGCTGCAGTCACTAATAAGCATGGATTGTCACAGTCAGCGCAGTTAGCGTGTTAGCGTTGACAGAGTTTTTCTGGAGACTATGCTTAAAAATGTTGAGGTGAAATATGCATTCCATTTCGTTTGACCACACGGCATTCGCCATGAACCACATCAATAAAAATAAAAAAGTATTCTAATGCATATATTGTTGGTTGCTGTTAGTAGTTGTCCCTGATCATCATCGTCATCATCATCATCATCCTCATCCTCATCCTCATCATCCTCATCCTCATCCTCCTCCTCCTCCTCCTCCTCCTCATCATCATCATCAGCATCATCATCATCATCATCATCATCATCATCATCATCATCATCATCATCATCATCATCATCATCATCATCATCATCATCATCATCATCATCATCATCATCATCATCATCATCATCATCATCATCATCATCATCATCATCATCATCATCATCATCATCATCATCATCATCATCATCATCATCATCATCATCATCATCATCATCATCATCATCATCATCATCATCATCATCATCATCATCATCATCATCATCATCATCATCATCATCATCATCATCATCATCATCATCATCATCATCATCATCATCATCATCATCATCATCATCATCATCATCATCATCATCATCATCATCATCATCATCATCATCATCATCATCATCATCATCATCATCATCATCATCATCATCATCATCATCATCATCATCATCATCATCATCATCATCATCATCATCATCATCATCATCATCATCATCATCATCATCATCATCATCATCATCATCATCATCATCATCATCATCATCATCATCATCATCATCATCATCATCATCATCATCATCATCATCATCATCATCATCATCATCATCATCATCATCATCATCATCATCATCATCATCATCATCATCATCATCATCATCATCATCATCATCATCATCATCATCATCATCATCATCATCATCATCATCATCATCATCATCATCATCATCATCGTCATCATCATCATCATCATCATCATCATCATCATCATCATCATCATCATCATCATCATCATCATCATCATCATCATCATCATCATCATCATCATCATCATCATCATCATCATCATCATCATCATCATCATCATCATCATCATCATCATCATCATCATCATCATCATCATCATCATCATCATCATCATCATCATCATCATCATCATCATCATCATCATCATCATCATCATCATCATCATCATCATCATCATCATCATCATCATCATCATCATCATCATCATCATCATCATCATCATCATCATCATCATCATCATCATCATCATCATCATCATCATCATCATCATCATCATCATCATCATCATCATCATCATCATCATCATCATCATCATCATCATCATCATCATCATCATCATCATCATCATCATCATCATCATCATCATCATCATCATCATCATCATCATACATGTTAGCTAGTTGTGGAAACACCTCAACTATTGTGCCGCAAGCAGAAGGAAAAACAACCGTAACGCGCTATCTGTCCCCATTTACTGATGGACATCTTTTCTCGAATAGCTAACTGGCGGCTATCGTGCCGCAAATAGAGCTATATTAAGCCTAAGGAATGGTGTCATGATTGTAGGGGGAGGCTATGCAGGAGGGGGTTGTACAAAGGAATTCACAACACAAACGCCATTGGGGCCGACTTCCAGCTATATCAGCAAGTGTGTCCAAACAAACGGGTTTACTGTCTTTAGGACACCAGCCAAGCAGTCGGAATGCACCAACCGACGCCAACTTTGAAATGAGGGCTTTCATTTCTCTTGACCCAGTCATCGCTTGGCCTCCCCTGCTCTTCCAACCGCACCCCCTGCGCACAAACAATGCACTTCGCGGTAGTCGATGTGCTAGCATGCGTAACACATATCCCAGTCATGGGATTCTGGTGAACCAACTCGGTGTTGGGTCTGTGATCCCCAATGACTTTTTTCAGTAGATGCTTGTGATGCAACCGGTCGGATAATTTTCTCCATGCAATCAAGCCTGAATAGTGTGGGATTCTGTAGAAAGCGGGTTGTTCTAATGGCCGATAATCTTTTTGCAATAATTGGATGGTCGGATTAAGAGTACAATATCATTTTGAATGTCAGGATGATTTCTTCGGTGTGCAAAATCAGTCCAATGCGCTAGTGACTTCAGTGGTTTTCTGGCTTAAAATGTGGACCCCGTTAACCCTTATTTTGACCATTCCTACGCAGTTAAATTTTTCCCCATTCTTCCCTGTTGATTGGAAACAACATCCAACACAATTTGTTGTTCTGAGCATAATTGTTAGAATACACTGAATCAATAAGAAATGCTTCACCCCACATTCGACTAATAATATGAGATGTCACAAAGTCTCCTAATATTTACATTATGTACAAAAACGTTGGTTCCAGTGGAGTCTGTAGCGGTAAGATAGAAAATGTTCTCCCCGTTAGAACAAGCGGGAGGCACTTGCACTAATCAATGATGACTATGTTGAAAGGTAACTGTATTCAATGGTTGATTCGTATTTGTCGTTGGGACGAGGACCAAAATGCTGATTTATCTCACTCTTGAGTGGGGTGAACTGTCGCGTGACATACCACTCGCGTTCTTGAAGATGCTGATTATTTCATGTGTAAGCCGCCAAATATGCACTTTTAGCATCATTCGAGCTATAATCGGTCACGAGCATCCGCAGCACGTGTTGCGATGTGTGACCAGTTGACAAACAAAGCTTGCTACATTTTGCAAATGTTCACATGGCCACTTAGTTTGTTTTCACCTGACACTAAACGTTCGTTTATGGTCCTCGCAACAGTCCATCTGATGGCTACCACATTGATGATTTTTCATACAGGGGGGGAGAGATTTCTCAGAACGCTCACGAGGGCTACCCGTGAAACGCAATACCGTTGATCAGAAATTAGTGCGGGGTATAAGAAATATGAATTTTCAAGCATCGATAGTGCAAATAAATTACAGCTATGAACACAAAGTTGACTGCGAGAAATCTCAGCTTACACATGCTGTGTACATAGGATGATTCAGTTTACCGAAAGGAGACGAGACCCGTCGGAGTGTCAGCCTGGTAGCACGCTTGGAAAACAAAAGAAAAATCAGTCGGCCAGCGTTATCCTATCTGCACTGCGCTGAACGATTAGTTTCTCAGATGTTTTTGAGTCGGCGGGCTTGCGATATTATTGACTGGGACAGAAGTCCATATTGAAGTGATTTTCGACATACACCTACCAAAATTTTAGCACCGAGGCTGGATATTAGGCAAATAAAAGTTGGTTTCTTATGGACTTTAAAGACAATTGGTTTCCTTCTTGACTGTTATCTTGACAGGTTAAGATATTTGAACATTTCAACATGTCGCCGAGCATCGCGAAAATGCACAACAAACAGAGGCTAAGTGTCTTTTCATATACAAACCAATTGCCACGAAACACGGATGTAAGGTAAAATATACCTTCGTTTGTTTCATCGTAAACTCCAGTAGTCGATAGTCTCAGCACTGAAACTTACAGTAATAAGAAAAAATAAAATTACTTTAGGTACCTACATTATATCAATTCCTTGTGGAAAAAACCGAGCTAAAGAGTCAATTATGTTTACGGTGACTAACTTTAGCGCTTTCGGTCACATGTAACACACAACAGCAGAGTCGTACACGGGTAAATAAATTACTCTTTTCATCCCATTAATTTCAGGGAAGGGTATGTGGTGAAAACCTGTGTGCGCTGTATTAACTGTGCGTGAGGCCACGATTCACTCTGGAAAGTACTGATGAACTGCTGTTTCCTCTTATGTAGGTGGTACCAAAAAATATGCTGCACGTAGAACTGGGAATCCATACTGCACCGTTTGGATTGGTCACTGAATAAACAGCAGCATTTAGGGGGTGTTCCATCCCGTTGGATGCAATTTGATGGCGTTAAGAATCATCCTAAGAGATCTATGGAAGTACATGAGTTCCTAAAGGGGGAATTTGTGGTATTATGAATGCAACTGATCAAGAAATGCTACCATACGGATTTTCAACGCTACGTCTTGTCCACGCTTGCATTTGTAAACGTAGACACATTTGCAGTCATAGTAAGTTCAGTTACGTAGGCGTATCAGACGTGCGCTCTCGGACAGGCTTCATAAGCTTCCTAGGTTGAAAACTGAATACTGAGAAAATGCAGCGAGTAGCGATACCATTGTGTAGCTACATCTAATATTTGTCAAACAACTCTAACAATTAGGATGGTGATTATTCTCAAATCTCAAGCCGGTAACTTGCGAGTCCAGGAGTATCTTAAACCGACACCGAGTTTACTTCGACTATGTATACAGGCAGGTTGTTCCATATATTCATCATGCTCCGCTCGAAGCAGAGATGGTTGGCGACCCGCCTCAAATCCGGTACGACAAGCTTGTACCGGTGTCCTCGTGTGTTGTTTGGTGTGCGCAGACGAAGCCGTGGCCTCGACGTGGGGAAATCACCCAGGTGTAGTGAGCCACCAACACCACACATGTTCAGGTTCCGAAGCAGGATCTTATGATCCACCTTGTCAAGCGCTTTACTAAAGTCGATGTAAATGACATCAACCGACTTCCCTTAGTTTAGCGCTTGCAACCATACGTGCCTTGAGAGCAGCAAGTTGGTGGTGCATGACTGACATTCCATGAAACCGTGCTGGGCGGGCTTCAAGTTGCTTTTCAACTAAAGATGCTGCAGAAGAGCACGCTTCACGATCTTCTCGAGTGTCTTAGCCAAAACAGAGGTCAGGCATATCGGCCGGTAATTGTCCATGTTGCTCGGATTGCCGCCTTTAGAAATCGGTTTCCCCACTGAGTAATTTCAGTCGCTCGGCAATGAACCGGCGGACAGCGACCATTTGAATAACTCAGTTACCGAAGGCTAGATGATGGGCGATAGCGATTTGAGGATAAATGGATGGAGCCCATCAGGCACAGCAGGCTTGGTACCGTCAAGAATGGCGAGATATTTGCACAAATCCTCAACGCTGCAATCCAGGCTGCCCAGCTCGGTAGAGACGATTTGCGTCAAACTCGGTACAGGCGCCTGGTTATCTTCAAAAACTGAAGCGAAGTTCGTCGCCAATGCGAAAGCACGTTTAGTGCTGTAAACTAAAGGCTGTCCGTCCGAACCCTGCAACACAGGCACATCAGCTGTCGGCTTCACGCGTCACATAATATATGCAAAGATCCTCGTGGGAGCTGTTATTGCTGCGGTTGCTAGCTGCTATTTGAAGTTTCGGCGTTCGCTCGTTTTTGCGCTGTCCCAATTCGGAGGCTAGCTTAGCTGGAAGTTTCTTTGTTTGTTCGGGGAAAAAACGTTGTTTTCCTAAGCATTTGCAACTAGCTAGGCACTGGGTGACAAATGTCTTCCGGGCGACATCGGAATGGTGCTCCGTTGAACGGCGTCAGAAACGGGGTAGTAATGGGTGACGAAATCAGCTCCCTTGGTGTTCTGCTGATGCAATCCGTGTAGCAAACGTAACAGAAAAGGTGTGTCGCGTGATCGTTACGGACAAGCGGTGCACCCGTGATTAGATATGGATCATTAGTTTCTCGTTGACGAACACGATGTATAAATGAGTCGGTTTTCCACCTGTTCTGAGCCGTTTAGGGTAGATAACATGTTTTCGCTACTGTACTTCGGCGATTACTTCTTGTAGCTCGGTCTTGAGTTGTCTGCTTAGTTTGAAGTGAGCCACAAGAAGGACGTAATTGTATGGGCTCATGGCAGACGCTAAGCGGTGATTCATCTCCAGGATGAACATTGAAGGGCTGCAAACTATTGCTAGTAAACGCACATCACCTCGTTTCAGGTACAGACATCACACAAAAGAATTGACAGGTTGCGTGTCTGCGTGGTCACTGATATCAATATGCAGGTCAAATCGGTATTACAAGAGAACTCCGCCTTCTCTGCTGAATCGGTCGTTTCCTAAGAGAATCATGCAATGTAAGGTTAGCTCAGCATTTAACCATGTTTCCGGTAACAAAACGATGTCACAGGTTACTGAAATCTGAAATGTAAGAACCTTGTTTAGCTTACTGAGAAGACTTTGCGTTGGTGTACACACAGGTAAGGAGTACCTGTGTCGGAAGCGTCTTGTATATACAGATTTTAGGTAAGAGCTTAAGCCGCTTATTTTTGCTGAGCTGCTGACACTGTCCTCGGGGCCATTCTGGTTTGGTGCGTATAATGATTAATGTTAGCAAATAACTTAGAACCGAGCCCTACATTAGCTGCAGCAAAGTTTGACTGCAACCGGGGTCTAAGCTACTCGCTGGAGGGCTTGTTGGCTAGCCGAGTTATCATTAAAGCAGCGTCCTATATCAACTAGGAGATTCCCCAGATTAAACCGCTTTTTTGTTAAACACTAAAATGATCAGTATATTGCACGGTTAGGCGTTTG